GGAATTATATCAATTAATGGATAAAGTACATTTTTTATCAATTTCATGAGTGCTGTATTAATTGTACATAAGCTAACTTGATGTAATTGGATGTTTTTTGCATTTAACATCACTTGTTCATCTAATTTTTTAACAATCATATCCTTCATTGATTTCATATCCTGTTTTAATTCATTGTTCATTTTGTGCAGCATGTTTATGATAATATCATTTGAAAATGTATTATTGGTTGTTGTACGTTGAGATTTAATATCTGGCCATACTTTATTTTCCTTAGACTTGATGTTGTTGTTATAATTAGATAATGCCGGAAAATCCATAGCATAAGTAGTTCCGACGATCTGAAACTGATGTTGTTGATGTACTTGAATAGATTTACGATTAATAATGCCGTCATTAACTGCTTGTTTTACTTCCAAGTTCAACTTCTTCCTGTATTGTTGAATAAACTCACATTTAGGATCTAGTGAGTGATGATCTTGTCCACATTGGGCACAAAGTGGTTTACCTGAACATGTATTTGTATGATCTTGATCGTAAACCATTAAACAAATACGGCATTTACGCTCACGTACCGAACATGTTGCACGTGTATGACCAATTAACCAGCAATTTGTACAAAAAGTCATTTTATTTGCAGGCTGATAAACTGTAACAGGATGAAGACGATTACCAATTGATATTCGACCGAGTTTCAAAGCACCTTCATATTCCATTAGGTCAGATACTGTAAAACGGAAATCATTTGTAGTACGATTATAAGAATAAATAATTTGTTTAATGTTGTCTGCTGAGCTTATTGATCGTTTAATTCCATCAGAAACAATTTGAATAGAAAATGATTTTGGAATATATCGTATCACCAGTGTAAAACATTCCGGAACGAATTTTGGTTTAATAATCGACATTTTTTTTCCATTAATTGTTGTTGGCCATTTATCCGAAAGTACAAGTTTTGAATAATCTTCCATATTGTTTACCCCCAATTTCAAACGATGACCTATAAATACAGCAACAGAAAAACCATTTATAATAATCTGATTTTTAATAAAATGATCCTGAATAAGATCACATGCTATAATTGCTGATGGAAGATCACGTTGAGCAATATTTTTATCAAATTCAACAATAAAACATGGAAGATTATTTCCAACTGCTCTTCTTAATTGATCGATTGGAATTGAGTAATTTTTACCAGAAGGCAGTTTTGTTGTTGTTGGAGAATTATAATAATTTGTTGTTGTTCTTGTATGTATAGCTTGTGCTTCATCTTTCCTGCTTTTTTTACTTTTTTCCTGTGATTTATTAAGTTGATCACAGGTTCTTTTAGGTGTAGAAGATGTTATTTCCTGTAGATGTAAGTGATTACTGGTTGTTTCTTCGTACATATGTGAATCATTCCTTTTATTATCAGTACGATGATTCATCGTGTTAACATATTGAACATCTTTGTAAACTTGTTCACCTAATTTACTTTGTAAAGGATAATCTTCGTGTAACGGAACATAAACTTGTCCATTATGTTCAAGAAATTGAATTGGTTGACCTTTGTGAAGCCTTGTACTTGTTGTTGCACCTAATAATGATGTTGGTTCATGACGAAGATCATTTATTTTTTGGTTAAATTCTTCAACTATTAACACGTTGTTTTCAAATGTATCACCTTGATGTTCATTGCGAACATTATTTCTTTTATGTTTTCGAGAGCCCATAATCGAACTCACTTTAACAAAAGAAATATCAAAAGGTAAAAAGACCTTTTGTCTCTTCTTGTACAGAGAAGAGACAAAAAAAGATCACAAGAATGTAAAGTAAGGAAAGGAAAAAAAAAGCGTCCAATCACCACGTATACAATAAGAGAAGTGATTGGTTTACTCTAAAGATGAATCATGATACTTGTTTCAGAAAATGCTCTGATTCAAATAACTCTATTGAATCGAATCTGAATCTCCAACAAACTTTCTCCTTTATACACTCTCAAAGAAACCTTTCATTTATTCATATATGTTTATTGCAGTATTAAGCAGAAACTAAAACAATAAAAGAAAGAGCAATCTGTATGAGGTAACAGTATAGTTATAATTCATCACTTCAATACTATTTGATTATATACCATTCAATTCATCAACAATGCACATATGTTAATCCTCAAGTATTTTAATGGCGGTTGTCGATAGGACTCTTGACCAGAATTCGATGTATTTTAGGAAACTTTGTAATATCATTGTTCGTGAGCAAAATTGATGATGAAAAATGACACAGAAACGTTGCAAGCAATAGCGGGATATCTTTAACCCTTGAAGGACCAAGTTTTTTTTGACTGAAAAAGCATTTTTCATCCTATTTATTTCATCTAAAGTCAAAATGGCCACGTAAAAATCTTATGATAATCGAAAAAACAATTTTTTCCTTCTTTTAAACAAAATGCCAATTTGCAAGTGATTAGGTCTTAATGGTGTACCAATCTATCGAATGAATCCGTTAGTAAGATTTTAAGAGAAAAAAATTAAGTAAGATCAAGATTGATATGATCTTACTTTATGTAGTTTCAGTAGAAAATAAATGATGTCCTAATTCCACTTTATTCTTATTAGGTATCATCATTGTTGATGGTGTATAGTTAATCGCTTTATTCTTTAATAATATATCAAGTAAATATGCGTAGTTGGGTGTGGGTGTGGGTGTGGGTGAGGTGTGGGTGTGGGTGTGGGTGGGTGTGGGTGTGGGTCTGGGCTGTGGGTGTGGGTGGGGCGTGGGTGGGTGTGGATGTGGGTGGGTGTGGGTGTGGGGTGGGTGTGGGTTGTGGGTGTGGGTGTGGAGTGTGGGTGTGGGGTGTGGATGTGTGGGTGTGGGTGTGGGTGTGGTTGTGGGGTGTGGGTGTTATTGGTGTCCATCACAACCCACACCCGCGCCCACACCCACACCCACACCCACACCCTGTTTTTTGTTTGCAAGGAGCATGGATATTGTGAAATGAGAATTCATATTTACAACAATAATATTACTTTTTTCATTAAAAAAAATACATCAAAGTTTCAGAAAACATCTTGAATTCTGTTCAATATTTCCAAACAAAAAAAAATTATTTATTTCAATATAGTAGTAGTAAATTTAGTATCCAATTTCCTTCTTTTGTTCGCAGCATCGATTATCATTTTATAATTATTAAATAACTTTATGACCTCTCTCTCACATACGACTCAAACAAAACTTTCAAAGATTCTAAAGTTCCTATTAAAACACAAAATGTGTGTTCCTTATTAAATGTCATCTAAAAATGTTGGCTAACACATTTATGTAACAAAATCTATATGCTAATTTAATAGATTCGATAACTTTTTACAGAAACTAAAAGAGGTTCTCCTTCTCGACAACAACTACTCGATTTAGATTCTTCGTTAATGATGCATATTTGCATAACGGATCATCTAACTTTCGAAAAAATCTCAAATATGTTCAACTTAAGTTAAATTGTTACCATTAAAGATGTACCCCAGTCTTATAGTTAAGCTTATGTATGACACATTTTTCATATTCTACTTACTTCTTTTTAGAAAATGCCACAGCGTATTCTTCAGCACCGATCGATTGAACAGATTGCACAACAGCAGCAGGGACAGATTGAACAGGAACAACGAAAGATTATGGAACAGCAACAACAAATCGCAAAACAACAACAACAATTCACACAACAACAAGAACAGATTGCATTGGAACAGCAACAGGAACATATTACGAAACAACAACAAATTTCACAACAACTGGAACAAATTAGACAACAACAACAAAAAATTGTACATCAACAACAGCAAATTGCACAGCAACAAATTACAGAGCAATATCAACATATTGTGCAGCAACAACAACAAATTGCACAACAACAGCAAGAGAATGCACAAAATCAACAAAAAATTGCAAAACAACAACAAGAAATTGCACAGATGCAACAAAAATTTGCACAAATACAACAACAACTACAGTAGTGGACAAAATTATAAGAACAAAAATTTTCTTAATGTATCAGTTTATTTTCATATTCCCTTTCATTGCTTGAATTTGTCTATCAATCAATACATATACATTCAAGTATGCTCTATCCGAATACCTGTTTAATTTCATGAAAAAAAGCCGAACAAAAGAAAAATGTTATTTTGACCTGGTCAAAATTATAAGAACAATTGGAAATTTTCTCATAATTTTCGGCTTACCCGCATGTAAATGTATTTCACTTTGGAGGTTTTAATAGATCAATGGATGGTCTACAAACTGAAATGATAATCTTAAAAGTCTAGCTTAGAGTTAGGTTCTAAGATTCAACATAATATTGCACGTCTCACATATTTGAGTTTTTTAATTTTTTTGATAAGAAAGTTCAATTTTGATTTCAAATATATTCTGTTAGAAAGAGATTTCAAAACTGCATCGAATGATGTAATTAGATATGCACCAGTTCCAGTCATGACTGGTACCCAGTCCGACTGGCACCCAGTCATGACCGGTACCCAGTTCGACTGGCACCCAATCATGACCGGTACCCAGTTCGACTGGCACCCAGTCATGACCGGTACCCAGTCATGTCTGGGTATCCAGTCATGACTGAGTTATCAATCATTGGATCTTTAGTTTATTAAATG